CACCATGTATAATTTTTCCTCATCTACAATGGTTAGAGATAAAAGTTTTGAAGGGTTTTCCTTTAGAAACCAAGACTCAATAGTTCTGCTGCTCATGGAACAGCTGTTTTCCTCCAGCTCAACTGTTTTCTCCCCAGTTCAACTAAGCAACGTTATTACTAATGTAATTATTTCATGAATTCTTCCACCCTATTAAAAAAAAGCCACAACCAGAAACTCCCAGGCCTAGCTGGAGCAAGCCAAGAGTGAATCCTGGGGAGAGGTATGCTTCCCATATATGGCATGGTATTCCAAAATATCAGATGAACAGCCCTCATCTTATGATCGAAACATAACTAGCAATTATGGTCAAGGGAGAGATTTATAATTCTGGTAAGGGAAATGCATTCTGAATCTTGACAAGGCTGTGCAATGACCTTAAATATGCCATACAAGAAATAAATGTATGTTACCGCTTCAACTTCAGAGTTCACTCTAAACAGCCAGTTTTTGGGAACACCTAATTGAAATGAGTCTTCTCTCATTAATATACATACCTGTGTGCATATCTATGTATCTATCTATCTTACTCCTACTTTAATTAATTTTGAAAATTTTGTTTTCTTGTTTTGGGTCATAAAGACGGTGATTTAGGATTAGTAGATTAACAGACTGTTCACTACTAATTTAGCCCTCAAACTCGCTTTTTCATGCAAAGAAACCAAGCTGTCTGCTTAAGTAGCTGATTACTTTCTGTGCCTTTTGTCATTTTTACTCAGAAGTTCTTTTCCCTCTGACTGAATTGCTTTGATAATAAAATTATTCCTGCATTAGATGTATTAATCTCTTCTGTTTATTATGCTAAGGCTTGGGAACTCTAGTCTTACTTGTCTTTCCGCCAGCGGCTACTTTAATGGGCATCTTTCCCTCTCTTTTTTTCTCTTGTAGGATCTTAATTACAAAATAAATAGAATCAAACATGAAAGACAAAATATTTTAATGCAAAGAAATTAACACATTAATATACCAGATAGTACTGTTTCTACATGACTTTGATCAAGTGAAGCACTGTGAAAGTTTGATGTTATTCTATTTTTTGTTCCAGTGTATTTTCAAATGGACTAATTACACCGATGAAAGTCTTCTGATTTCAGTAAAGTATTTTCTGGCAATTCCAGATTTTTGCCAATAGACTTTGTAGACGGGTAGGAATCAGATCTTCCAGAGTAAAATTATTTTTTAAAAATGCCCTTTTTTCCCAGTGTTTTTTATAGTAGTGCTTGTTCCTATAAAGCTTACTGCTTGTCCTTCTTATCTCATCTCCATGTTCTTCTTATCTCATCTCATTCCTTGTCCTGTATTCTCTAGGTTTTGATGCTGCTAATGCTTATAGAGATTAAACTGTGAAGCAGAAGGTGAGCTGCCTAAATATCAGTGGAGCCATGACTGCCACTTAATGAACTACTTTTAATCATGCCAAGCTGGCATTGTATACCTCATCCATCCCCTCTCCCCAGGTTTGGAGCTGGGCTTTTTTTTTTTAAGGAGAATGTAGGGGCATCCTTTCTGCTGAGCTTTGGGTTTATTTAATCTGAGGGTTAATCTGATAAAACCCTGAATGAGAGCTCAGACATGGAGCCACCAATTCCATGATGATGCTTTTTTAAAGGTCTTGTTTCTATTTTTATTTATTTACTAATGCGACAAAAGAAAAATATCCTACTTCCCCCGCACCCCATTCTGTAAACACCTGTAGAGACTAACTGGGAAATCCCATCAGTTTGTGCCTAAAGGAATATCTTGCCATATTTTTAACAAATAGACAAGCATCTGCTTTGATTTTTCCTGTTAATTCAATACGGAAAAAAATAAAATCTGAATCTCAAAATTAATGTGTTTAAGGGAACTAAGTTCTTTATTGCTCTGTAAATAACCAAGAGCTGTAGATGATATTTACTATGTATCTGTACATGAAACTGTCCCAGCTGAGACAAACAGCTACTGCTTCCCAAGGGGTGTGTCAAACAAGAAAATGAAAATGGAAGAAGTTTCACTATCACCATATTTTTGTCTTTTATCAGTGTTTATCCTAAAACAACAGCCATGTCTCATTATAAAACAATGTCTTTTCAGAGCTCCTTCAAACTATGGGATCATATAACATAAATAACAAAATTATATTTGTGTGCATTGCGTGCATTATCTGTGAGCCCCATGCAGAGGAGTACAGTACTAGCTATTTCTGTACTTTAGATAAATATAAGATGACACAGGATAACAAGCTTGGGCTTGAAACAGAAACACCAATAGATCATAACATTTGCTGAAGTTACAGTCCTATGGGGGAACTCAACCTGGCATGCTCTTGGAATGAAATTTCTGCCCTATTAATTTTAAATCCAATCTGTTAGAAAAGTAAGTGTGCCTGAAAATATAAAAGGCAAGATATCTGACTTTTCATTGCATTGCTCCTCAAATACTCATTTTCTTCCTTGATAATTGAGTGCATGATGAATGTAAAATGATACGTCAGTGCTATGATACAGTTCATGTCCACGCAGATGGAAATTAATGTATGAGGTGCAAGAGAAAAGGAAAACAGACCCATAATGGTTAAGTGAAATTAAATTCCAAAAAGATTTGAAACCAACCATTGTGCTTCTTACAGGGAAATAAGACATAAAAGAGAAGATAAGAGACAAACCCATTTATCTACAGTTCTGAAGGAACAAACCCTTCGCTGGGTATGCATGAAGAAAGCGCACATTCTCCCCCAATTTATAGTTAGTTTACATAAAATAAAAGCTTTAACAAGAGTGCTGAGAGAAAGGTCCATGCAAGCATAGCCAATATCACCAAGTTACAATTTCTGACTTGTTGGCTTATCTTATGAAATCTCTTCTCTCTCACTTTCTCAGTTTGACCTCAAAACCAGTCGCACAATTTTTACCAGGGAAAGTTCTATCCATCAGTACAGAATTTATGTCCCCACAAAAATGTTTGAGCTCAACAACTCAGCATTTCCTGAGGAAAAACTGTTTTACTGAATAATCCTGATCAGCTTAGTTGTTTTACGTGAATCAACTAGGATTCTTCAAAGCATGTAGGTGCTTTGTGCTTGAAGCACACATTTCAATTTAAGACATTTCTATGGGCTTTGCTGAGCCAGTGTCAAGCTGAGAGGAGACAAGGTTGCTTAACATGTCACAAAAATAACCTTCACCTGTAAAGTCTCTATGAGTGTTATGAACAATTTTGCATTAAGTCACACTGACTAACGTCAGTTATAACTGACAAAAAAAAAATCATAGTACACCATGGAATGATTTTTATGTATTTTATGTCCATATTCTATAATTATTCTTGCTTGGACATAAATTGTATGGCAAAATGGTTAAGCAAGCTATAAAGATTGTATCTTTCGCAGTCCAACACATTAACACCTTCTAGATGCCATAAATAATCCCAAGATTAAAGCTTATTTTAATGAGAAATTTTCCCATTACCTCTTTAATCAGTTTTTTCACCTCCACTATCAATACTCTGTAGATCACAATTGTCTTCATGATACACTTAAAAGCTACAGTACATTTAAGATGATTGCAGATGACATGTCATACTGCCAGAACCTCATTTAGAATATATTATATACTTTAAGATAAAAAACATCTGAAAGAACACTTAGGTCTAATTTAAATGTGCAACCTAAGCACCAAGGGAGAAATCATGATGTTCCAACTGCTGTAACATGCTCTAGGTAAAATACAGCTCTGCAACTCATTTCTTCAACACCAGTTAAAAGCAATATTTGACTGTATTTTTAATTTATCACAAACAAAAATAAGGAAGAAACCACCCACGTAAACCTAATGTGAAATATGAGAAAAATAACTTCTATTTACACAGCAAGCAGTGAATTTAAGCATATGATGGCATCCTAAGGATAGTCCTAGTTTGCCCTTTCTACTAGATCTTTTAATAAGTTGTTAGGGTGAAATACATATTTATCATCAGAGAAACAGAGTATGAGGAAATGCCTACCATCATCTGCATCAGTGACACTGAAGTTGAGAATAGCGGATCCTGGAGACAGGTTCTCCATCAAAGACGTGCTGTATGAGGTCATGCTGAACACTGGTGGGTTATCGTTGATGTCCAATATATTGAAGTACACTCTGATGGTAGTAAACTGGCCTCCCCCATCTTCCGCGCGGACAGTCAGAATGTAATACTGCTGTGCTTCATAGTCCAGTGCGCGAGTCAGGTTGAAGACTCCGGTAATGGGGTTCAGGAAGAAGACACCCTCTTCATCATCTTCACTTACAGTGTACGTGATTTCCCCGTTGATACCAGAGTCATCATCAGTGGCTAGAATGGCTGCCACTAAGGAACCTGTGCAGGATGACAGGACAGCAAAATCAGTCACTCGTAAAAGGCAGCTCACCAGCTCATCATCAAGGAGCTCTGTACAATAAATTGTATACTCTGGTAGAAACTCAAGCCTCAGTGTTGTAGGACTAATGACTATGAAAGGTTTTTCAAAGCAGAGAGGAACAGTATTCAGTATGATGTTTATTTTAAAGGGCTACTAAAAAAAACCCCAAGAAATGGCCAGGAACATTTGTTTTTAATCTTTAAATGGGAACATGTCCAGATTAGATATCAATTGGAGAAAAAATACCTTTTCTCTTGCTAGGTATTTTCTCTCTATAGCTCAAAGGACCCTCTCCTCCCCGCAGACAAATATGAGTTTTGAAACCTTCTAGATATTTCTTTGTAAATGCAGAAATCAAAATGTCAGTACATACCAAATATCCCAGCTCTACTTTTTGAAAAAGTGCCTTCACAGGGTAACTGCAGTTAGAAAACCAGAAACCTTATAGGGGTCCATTCTTCACTGTTTTCTGAAATTCAACTCCTTGTGAATTTGTGCCATTGTTTTCATTTCTGCATAGGTGCATTTGCACGACTGACCTATCTTACTAAAGTTTGGAAATTGTCACTTTTTAGTATTTCAAACACTAATTATAATTAAAGATCAGCTCATTTTCAAGAAAATAAATAATTTAATTTATTTTCCATGGAAGCAGATGAATTCCATGCGTTGCAGCACAGTTAACTATTTCCGAGCAATGCAATAATGAAAACTGCTTATCATCCAAATTAAGAATAGTGCTACAACTTCCTTTAATCCAGCTGAATATGCTGGTATCTTTTACATCCATTTGATTACCTCATGCTTTAATGTTGCTGATTGTGCGTTAACTGGCGAAGAGGGCTGTCCCGAAGCTGGATGGGATTATCAGCCCTCCAGCGAGTTTGCAGCACAGCAGGGTGAGGGAAGCTCAGCAGAGAGCCGTGCTGAGGCCCAGGGAAGATACGATTCCCCATCACGGCTGCCAGACTGCAAGGGGAAGGGGGATTATTCTCTGGGATAGAGCACGGAGCCCCGAAGAGGAGACCTCGCAGTGCTTCCCCTCCGGATGAGCCTGCCAGCTGCTCTGGGACCGCTGGAGAGCAGAACAGGAGAAGCTGCAGCACTTCAATTATAGAACCAGGCTGTTTCTTCCTTTGGCATCCATTACTGCTGAGCTGGTATAAGGCACAAATGTACACCCCATAAATGATGAAGGAGAGAACTCTCATCTTAACGTGGAGGGAATTATGCTTACCATTTCCAGGGTTATTCCTGCTAAAACAGACCCAGCCTCAGGACTCTGAGTGACAAGAGAGAAGAGCATAGCTGGGGATCAGCAATCAAGCCGCCCCGTGCTGCACAGGCGTCTCAATTACTTCCAGATCAGATTCCTGAGGCACAGCCGATTGCACTGTAATCCTTTAATGCAAAACATCACTCAATTTTGGGACTGTGACTGTGGGACAGAGTGCAAAAGTTGGAGGCATGGGGGTAATCTTGGTTGTCCCAAGCTGAGCCTCCCACGCTTGTAAGTCAAAGCCCTAATAAAAGTTTGAAAGCTATCACCATGTCATTTACATCTCCTTTGTTTATTCATGTTTTAGAACAAGTTTCTAAAATGCTTCAGTTACTAATACCAGCAGATACTGCTTTTATACTAGCATTCTGTATAAAATACTGGAAACTATTTATTGTGAGAAATATTAATTTCTCATCTGGAGACATATAATATAGCACAGCTTTTGAAAATTTTTTTTTGATCTAAACAGTTTCTAGCTTATGACCTAACTTTGAAACATCAAAACATAAGCTTTAAAAGAAGAAAACGACTTAAGAGGTCAGTGGTCATACTTAGGAACCAGAATTAATTATCTAAAGATCAGATTTTCTACAAAAATCTTGTCAAAAACAGGAGTCAAGGGTAAGATCAAGGACATATGATGTTAGGGTTAGTAACTGAGCACATGTAGGGAATATTATTAAGGTGCATGATTGGCTGTTCCATGGTCACCCATTTTGTGATCCTACATTTGATTAATTAAGTACTGTAAGCCATATTCACTGAAGATGGTTCAATCAATACTAGCATCACCATGACATCTTTTTCATGATAGGTTACACTGTTTGTATCCTGTAAGTTGTTCCTCCTACTTTTCTGCTTGCTATTTTTTAAGTAGTTGCACTCAGAGGCTTGCATTAGGATACAGGCGTAATTCCTACTCCACATCTAGGATTTATCTGAGTGGCAACCATTCCTCTATTTCCTATTGAAAATAAATTTGAACCCACAAGTGATAGAGATTTCCTAGCAAGCAGAATTCCAGCATGACACGACTCTCTCTGTCTCTCCACCCCATCTGACAAATGCTTTCAGCATCTTCTGCCTCCTGGCAAAGTCAGACAGGTCTGCTACCCCCTCCCCATCAAGTCAATTTGGATTGACAAAATTAAAAAATTCAGTCCATTTTAGGGCCATTTCCTATTTACCTGGAGTGGCATCTTCTGGGATGTCAAAGGAGTACACTGGCTTGGAGAATCTGGGGATATGGTCATTAACATCGCTAACAGTGATGTTTATTCTCATGTCTGAGGACTGCAGGCCGTCATCAGCACGAACCAGCAAGGAGTACTTGGAGCGGCGCTCCCGGTCCAGGCGCTTCGTGGCTATCAGGTCTCCTGACTCAGGGTCAATGTGGAAGCTATCATCCGCACCACTGATAATAGTATATGTGACAAGGGCATTGGCTCCCTAAGTAAAAACAGAAGTGGTCAAATCACATTATTTGCCAGGAAAACCACACCATAATTTTCAGTAAGACAAGAATCGTTCCAGTAACTGCACTTGGCAAATATTTTTCAGAACAGTTTCCTTTAATAAACAGCCTTCCTGCCCAGTCCCTGCTTCAGTCCCCCAGTAAAGACGCATACACACACAGTTTTTATTTACGAGACATGAAATGATGAAATTAAGCAGATACTTTTTGCTCCACTGTTCATAAAAGGATCACATCCAGTCAATACCATAAAGCTCTGATACCTGTTTTAATTTCAAGCCAGCATCACTAAGCAGTGTAACATCTCCCCTCTTAACAGGGATCAGTGTTTGTTCTTCTTGTTCTACATTCAAAGGTTAAATTAAATCCCTGCCAGTGGGATCAGCTCTGCCTTTCCTGCTCTCTGGAGGTGGGATGGAGGGAGGAGGAGAGGGAAGGATGCAAGGAGGGAGGACCACGAGTGGCCACACGGCAGCTCCACCAGCCAGCACGCATGGCAAGAGCTGCAGCTCCCGGTCAGGAGAAACTCACAGGAGCTGTGCTTGCAGCAGACCCTCAAAGGCTACTTTCTGCATGGAAATACATTTATCCCTGTAAATAAACAGCCCCAAATTGACAAAACATGTGTCATTAAAATCACAGTTCTGATCCCTTGGGTTGTGCTGGAAGTCAAAAGCATTTGCTTTTGGGTCAAAGTATCTCATTTGTCCTTGGAAAAAAAAAGGATTCATATGGACTTCGAGCATTTTGGTTAAAAGGAAAATTAAGGAAAAGTGATTTTACACAGAAAAAACAGTAACTTTTTTTTTCCCCCTTAAAGGTTGAACATAAAACTTAAGAAAAAAAAAAAATATGGAAACTTCCATTCAAAAAACATCGACACGGTGCATTTTGCCTCAGCCCTACCCCATCACAAACACCAAGACAAGTCACCTGCATCCAGTCTGTATCATTGATTACCAGCGAGAAAATCAATCCGCCTTACAGATCTTAGCTCTGAGGAGCACTGAGGTTTCTGAGAAAAAGGGATGCTGCCTGAGCTTTGTTTTCATCCACCTCCTGGGGATGGGTTGTGCAGCATGACACTGCAGCAAGAGGGTGGTCCTGGGGATATACGCAGCTGGCTAGAGCGCCCAGCACCAGCTTGGGTGACATTTCCCTGAAAAGCCAGTACTCAGTTATAAATTTTGGTTCTTAGCAGACTGACATTGGTCTTTAAGGGAAAACAGAAAGAGACCTAATATCCCGGGGTGACGTCCTTCTTTTTCCCAGACACGCTTAAGCGCACTGAAGGTTTGGTAACCTACAATATCGGATACATGTACCTATACCCCACGTGATGATAATGCTCAGCAGTGCATTTTGGTGGGCGAGCAGGTATTTACTGTGCCCTCGTGCCAGGCCAGAGCTCAGGATTCACAGCTGAAAACTGCTGCTTGCATGCGGGTGGCATTTCTGCAGTGAACAACTGATCAAAGAGATCAAGGGGAAAGAAATTCTACAGCTGTTTCAAACACTCTTGCCTAAAAAAAGCAAATTAACAGAGATAAACACCTGCTCGTATTTGTGAGAGGCAAGACAAGCATTAGTTACCTGACCTTATAAGAGTGCCTCTTGCCAAGCTTTTTCTCTGGAGTGTTGTTTCACAGAGTCAGACTGAGCTAACTGATAAAATGAAATTTAGAAAGAAAACAAGCTTCTACGGGTGCCCAGCCCTGAAGAGCTGCACACAGTGCTTCAGTGTACACAGCATCTGTGTGCTCAGGTGTACCTGGGGACATCACACACTTTCCTGCAATTGTGTGGCTTAGCAAAAACATCTGATGCAAATTTAAGATTTCAGAGATGACCACATTATTCACCACTTGTTTGACTAGCCAGCATCCTCCTAATAGAGCGCAGCTAAAACCACAGCTACACATGATACTGGTTTAATCAAGTTAGTAACTTTACATGAGTTAGGTGAGAACCAAAATGAAATACAGATATGTAAAATCTATTAAAAAGCTGTATAAAAATTTCCCATTAAAAACTGACTTTAAAAAGTTGCAAAGCACCAGAAGCTGTTGTAATTGTTAAAGCCTTTGGTACCACTTAGCACGTAGAGAATGCCTTGACATCTTTTCTCAGATCTATACAATGTCCTTGTAACAGACAAGGGTTTGAAATTTGCTGCCTTCATACTACCATTTTAAAATATTTGTAAGAGGGGTTCTTGTACACAACTCAGCCGTGAGTTTTAAGGGTTCTGTCACTTACCCTTTTCAAGCTAGAACTTTGATTCTGAAAGCACCTGTGCATGTAGCAAAGGCAGCATGCTGTTTTACTGAGCTGTATTTACGGGTTGCATGTGCAAAGAAAGCAGCCGGAAAAGTATAATGTCACAGGACTATTATATGAAAAACAGGGAGCATTCACTATGCCCTCAACTTCAAAGAGGGATGGGGAGTGGGAGGGAAAGGCAAGTATGTCAACTCCAGACAGTGCGGTAGTTCAATATTTACTTCTTCCTGAACTGAAGCCAAACAGTCTTTGTAACAAAATACTTTTTGTTACAGTCATGCACCTTTCCAAAATCCTATATTTGTCTGTATGTCAGGTTGCTACCAGAAAAGGAAGGGAAGAACAAAAAGTTCATATCACATTCGTACCATTCCTGGGGGTGCTCCAGTGGTTCTCTCTGTAGTAATAAGATTAAGTGCACCAATTAACAATCACAGGACAACTAACCAAGCTAACACAAAGAAGTCCAGAAATACAATTTGCTTGAGGGGGTTGAATTACCTTATTATTTGAATGCAAGAATTGCTCGTTGTTTTCAAGTGTAACCCTATATTTTAATGACAACACAAACTTCCTTGCATGCTCATATCGACTTTTTAGGCCTTTCCCCAGTGGAAAGAATCAGTTCAAGTGAATGAAACAATATGATTAACACTCTCATAACTTACTTTCCAAAAGAAATAAATACATTAAATTGTATGTGGATATATTTGATGCATACAACAAGACTGCAATATCCCTTACTAAGCCAATTGGCCAACAGTTTAACATCAGTTGCTCAAAGACTTTTGCTAATTTCTTAATAACTCCTCAGTTGCAGCATCATCACAGTAATGAATCTAAGTGGGCAAAATGAATTTGTAAACCAGTTCATGTACAGAGCACATATTTTAGCATTATTTCTTCTCTCCTCTTTTTGGTGAAATAAAACCTTCTTCAGGAAAGGATACTACTAAGTAATTCTAGTCAAAGTGGAAGCAGGCATTATCAAAAGTATTCTTGTTCTTCAAGGCTTGTCTCACATTAATTTTTCACACCCTTTGAAACTGGGCTCAACTACAACATCTCTGCTTCAAAGTTAGTTTAGAACTCAAGCTGCAGTCTTAAACTGAATGCCAATAAATCTTTATCACAAGCTGGGCAGTCCAGCACCTTCCCCAATTCATCGGGTACAGTGTATGATGAGACCATGTCATGGTTTAGCCCCAGCCGGCAACTAAGCACCAGGCAGCCACTCACTAGCCTCCCCCTCCCCAGGTGGAATGGGGGACAGAATCAGAAAAAAAAACCCTCATGGGTTGAGATAAAAACAGTTTAATAGGACAGCAAAGAAATAGGAAATATTAATAAAATTACTGATTAAGGACTATACAAAAATAAGTGATGCACAATGCAACAATTGCTCGCCACCCAGTGACTGATAGCCCGTCCCCGAGCAACGATTCCCACCCCCAGCCATCCCCAGTTTATATATGGAATATGCTGCATACGGTAGGGAACATCCTTTTGGCCAGGCTGGGTCAGCTGTCCTGGCTGTGCCCCCTCCCAGCTCCTTGTGCACCTCCTCACTGGCAGAGCTGGGGAAGCTGAAACGTCCTTGACCGAGTATAAGCTCTACAACTACTTAGCAACAACTAAAACATCCAGGTGTCACCAACATTATTCTCATACTAAATCCAAAACACAGCACTATACCAGCTACTAGGAAGAAAATTAACTCTATCCCAGCTGAAAGCAGGACAGACTGATAACAACAAGACAATCTAAAACCAAAACATGGGGCTTTTCTTGCCATTAGTGGAACCACTCATTAAGAGATGTTAGCAAAACATTAACTCATTACATACAAACCACTGAGCAGCCTAGAAGTAATAGAGTATTTCTCACTTGCCCCTGTGTGTTTGCCTCTGTGTGACTTCGTGATACCAAATACAGTTTTGTAAATGGGCCAAACGCAGTTTAAAGCATGACTGCAATGACTCCCAAGGCCAAGGTCTCACGAAGGGAATAAGGGAACAGGTCAAAACATGTATTTCCAGAATAGCATTTTTAGTACAGATATTCAAATACAAAACCATGCTCCTACCTCATCTGCATCCATGGCTGTCAGCTGCAATATTTTAGATCCATCTCCTATATTCTCTTCTACAGTCAGATCAAGCATATCTGTGGGGAATACTGGTGGGTTGTCATTGATATCCTGAAGTGTTATTTCCACCTGTAAAAAAACAGAAATTGCAAAAAGTTGGTAAGCACTGTGAGTTAGATGCTGATTGGACCTGAACGTTACAAAGCACATAATTTTGAAAGAACTCAGGTAAATTGTTCTTAATCACATGAATTAGAACATTCCCAAATCACACCAACAACAGGAAAAGCCCCTCCGGATATTAAAATTCCACATTGTTATAAAATACTCACAGGAAAGCCTCTAACATAAATAAAGTTAATTTGACTTGTTGATAGCAACTGATTTTAAATGGTCCTAGTCTAGTTTATATTGGAAAAGATCCACTGACAGACTGTCATTGTAATCCTCAAAGTCAGCCCCTGGAGGATAGCTGCCAAGTCCCGGGGCAGGAGATCATTCAACCATTAAATGCTGCCTGACATAAAGATGAGGTGGTGTAAAATTCTCTCTGAAATGTTTATATATTGGCAACTCTCCGTTCTGAGGGAGGAAAAAACACCCCTGCGCTTTGTATTTTTTTAAAAAATAATCTGTTTTTCTCTCTCTCGAAGCTCTCCTCTAATTGCAAACATAAACGTTACGTTAGAAGCACCCCCTAGCATCTACTCTCCATGCCTATGCACACCTAAAAAAATGTTCTTTTCACAAGCTATGTTTGTGTGCTTTTCCAAGTAGTAATGATAGTTTCTGAAAGGTTGTTGTGTGTTATTTATTCCTAGTTTTTAATATGCAAGATTGCTGCCCTGCTGATGCTAATTCAAAAAGCTGCAGAGCTCCATTTTCCCTTGTTGCAGGGTATGGCAAGTAATATTTCAAAAAACGAAAGAGAGAGGACACAGCTGTTTTACATTTATCATGGAAAAAAAGGCTTGTTTTGGACACAAAATATTAAATGGCCACCAAAATCTGAAGACCTGTTAACGAGAACACCACGTAGATGAAGGAAGCCTGTCTGTATTGCTTGTCAAGGACTAGAGGAAGGCAGATAGGGCTGTTACACAGGAAAGGAGGCAAAGGTATGGATGACTTAAAGAAGAAACCTAGATTGACAGACAAAATATTATTTACACTACAGTACCGGCATTGCCATTATCCACAAGGGATCTCCCTGGACTTAGTTGAAAATATATGGGTTAGGCTGCTCTGGATATAATCAACACAGATATTTCTGTTGTTCTGAAGTCTGCGATTTTTACTATTTCTAGTCACCTGCCATAATATTTTCTTTTTTCATTCTGTTTTCATACAGACCACCGATTGCCAAGACATTCTGACTTGATCAGCAGGATGATTCCAAAGATAAGCACTTTAGTGATAGAGGTTTGGCTGTCCCCACAGAACAACTGAGTCACCCAGGCTCACTTGGAGCATCTTTCCCCAAGCTCTTAGTGGCTGCACCCTAGGGTCATCAGTCCTCTGTGGGCTTCTTGAGACCACGTCCTAAAGGAAGGTCCATCTTTCCGTCCTCCCAAAGGCAACTGTTTCAGAAAGCCTAACACTTCCACCAGTGCTAGGCTTTGTGGATGAACATATTTGGTGTGTCTGGCTACTGTCCTTCATCAAAGTCCCTGAAAATATAAGTCACTGTAGACATGTAAATACTCAGAGTATATTTGGTCCTAACACACCTATCTCTTCTGCCTCAGAGGACATTTCTAATGCAGAGAAGGCTGCAAGGAGCTCAGCTCTTTCCCCAGTAAGCATTTTTCTTTCAATGGGGTTTCTTCAGAGGGTGGAGAGATCTAGACCACTGTGAACACATTATGGTTACATTGGTCTCTGGTCAGTATATACACCACATGGGGAGACACCTTCCACCTGGGGATCTTAGCCATCCTCAGTCACCTCAAGTAAGTGAGCTTTTTTCTTTTCTTCCAGTTTGCATTTGGTATTTATGCCCGCAGTAGGTCACTGTTACTGTCAGCCTGCCAGAACTTTTCCACAGCATTAAAGAGAATTTAAGTGTCTTTAAATACAGAGGAAATATTACATTAATGTTATAGATATATCTGCTGGAAGTGCAGACAAAACACTGGTCCTGTAGGCCTTACATGGCCTTTTAGAGAAGGACATTATTTATTTATACAGTATTTAATTCCTTTGGCCATTCACAAATGGTACACTAAACACTTCATGGCCTGAGACACATTAACCCAGAAGGTTTTATCGTTAAATTTAAATCCCTGACAACAGAAGCACAAGAAGAGCTGACCAGAGCATCACAAGCAGTGATTCGACAACTGACTAACCAGACACAAACTTTCAGAGAATACAACAGCCTATGATGGCTTTCATGGTTACTGCTGCATCTGGGTGACAATCATAGAAATGGGAGACACGCAGTAGAAATGACAGATGAAGGATTCTGCCAGCTATCCTTGCCAGAAACTGGCAGAACAAACTATGTATGCTCTTCTGCTCCAAGCATAGCATTTCCCCTGATATGGTTTCAAAGTAAAGCAGCTGTGCAGCTCTGCAATTTATTTATTCATACCATATATGTCATGCACAGCTAATGTTTCAGCTGCAGGTGACATTTCACCAGCAGAATCCATTTGCATGATGAGAGATTGTCCTTTGTAAAAATCATATGAAAAATATATGACAACTTATGGGGTTTTGGGTTAGGAGCTGTGCATTGCCTACAGCTTGCATAATGTAAAATAGTCAGAACCCAGGAATACAGATGGCTAAGGGTTGTGGGACGAAATAAATTAATTATAAATTCAGATTATATATTCCTCAAATAGAGGAAGTAATTTTACCCTGAAAAATCAGCTCTCAAGTAAACAAAGATGTATTTTATACTGAAGTAGTTCTTTAGGTCATGGAAAAATAAGAAATTCTCAAATAAGGAAGCAAAATTTTTAGAAAGAAACCACAGTATTTTTAAAGAGCATTTATACCGTGATTTACTATTTATCCACAAGGCTTAGATAATGCATATTGCTTCACAAATCACTGTTGGCTAAGTCTAATTAGCATCCTCGTGTAAAGCTATCTTTTTACTTCTACTATAACTTAGTACTTCCGCTTACATATAGTACTGCAAACCTAAGGAGTAAGATCCTGGGATGTGCCCATTTGCAGAAATTTCACTCAAGTAATACATCTCTGAGAAAGACTTAAGAAAAATCTTCACATTTTCCTCAAAACAAAAGAATCCATTAAGTTTTATGCCAAAGGCCTCATTTAAGAAAGAGTACATCCTGAACAAGTTCAGGTGCAAATTGAATGTCCAATCTTCTATTCAGGAGTTCAGAAATTAATTTCACTTTGAAATTTTTTCAGAAGTTCCAACCCCAAGCAGAAACTCACAGGAAAACCACAACCACAAAGTCTTTCCTTGCTACAGGGCACTGGAAGATTTCAGCATGCCTTATCACATCTTCACTGGGGAGGAAAAAGAAAAAATCCACAAAGCTTTAATCAAACATCTAAACTAAATCTCTCCCTAATCAACTGCCTCTATCTTTCTAATCCCACATTTGCATAAAGATATCAATGTGTGTCACTTGGATTCTTGAATACATAGTTTGATTAATATCACATGCTACCAATTAATAATTGTGTGCAATTCTGCCTCAGACTTAATGAAGGCAAGACAAGGTGGTCATGGCAGTATTACCAGCCATCTGTACCATGGGCATTGTGTTCAGAAGGGTCTACAGAACACGTGCTGTGCTCCCAGCTTGCACCGATGGCAAAACACCCACCAGTGACAACAGCAAGTACAAAAGTAAATCTCTAGGAAGCCAAAGGCCTCAAAACCCAACATATGCCACAGGAAGAAAAAAGGGACCTTAAAGGATTTGTCCAGACCTTGGTCCCTGGAAGAGGAAGGAACCATTAGGTGACAACATCTGTACAACTGTAGGAAGCAACATGTCCAGGCTACATGGAAAGGGACAACCACCACCTTCTCCAAATCTATCCACCATAGAGAATATTCTTGCCTGACCTCAAACCTGTCAGTCAATGTAACTCTAGCATGCAAGTGAGAGGCAGAAAGCAGTCACCTGAGAGGGCTCCTCGGACCGCTCCAAGTACTGCAGTACGGCCAGTGTCCGACCAAACACTTTCACAACTTCCCATCTGACAAATCCTCAATTCCCATTTATATCAGCAGTACCTTTAATATAGGACGCAAAAATTCTTACTGTCACTCAGGACTCAAATATAATAAAATACAGCAGCAGCAAAGGTAGTGAGGCATGTTTGCCAACACATTTGCACCTTTTAATTCTCTAAATTGCACTCTCCGGTGGTCCAGGCACTGATGTGGGCTTTGCTCCTCTGAACAGCCTTGAATTTCTGCAGAAGCCATGGGAACATAAACAGTCACAGACACTTCTAAATCTGTTAAGACTGTGATGGAAAACTGATTAATAGATTCAGAATATTGCCTTGCTTTATTTGTTCAAGGGGAAATGAAAAAATCAGAAAGCTTTGTTCTATCCATGTGTGTGTGTACATCTCCACAAAATGACTCGACTCTTGTACAAATTCCAGAAAAATGCTTTTCCCTCACATGTTTAATGCATCTAGAAAAAAGACTGAAAATTAAAGTTTTCCCTCAATGTTTATACTTCAGAAAAATACACGTTGCTTATTTGTAAAATAACCACAATAATTTTACATATCAATTTCTATGCAAACTATCTTTGGGTGGTGTTTTTTGTTTGGGGGTTTTTTGTTTGTTTGTATGTTTGTTTTGTGTTCGATTCAACCTATATTAAACTAAGATGCAAAAATACAGACATACAACAAACCACAGATATTAGCAAAAGCAGTGAATCAAACAATACCACAAATTTCCCTGTGTCTGAATCAAATTTCTCATTCTGCAAGCTTAGTAATATTCTCACAATAATGCCATGCTCCTGCCACTAATACAGATGGTCAACCCGTCCTGATCTGCGACAATTTGATTGCTGCAGCCTGCTGTTGCGGACATTTTCAGAGCAGATGAAGTTTTAATTACCTTGATCTTGTTTGGATTCTTATTTGCTGCTCAAATTAGTCTCTTGTGTTTTTTCTGCATAAACAAATTCAGAACAGATTGCAGCAGGGCAGCAGTAACCTCAAACAGTTTTGCCTCAATTGACTTTAAACGTAGATGTAAGAAAAATCTGAGGTTTTTTATTTCAGACAAACCTCAGGTCTTAACAGGTATAAGGAATCATACCAGGATCTTACTTCATAAAGTATACAGTATCTATTTGAGCATTTAGGGCATGAACCTGAACACAAGAAGTCACTCGGAAACTTGTTATTGTTTCAAAATGCTGTCTTTACTCTGAAGAAAGTCGAAAAAACCCTCTTTCAATTAACTGATAGCATTTATGAAAGAGACTCTTTACAAAGAGTGATGCTGCAGTGTAAAGTCTTCAACAGCTTCATACTTTCTACACAGATCTGAAAACAATTTATTCTAGCAGGGGGGAAGGAGAAACTCAATTATGATGGAAACCTAGAAAAAGAAAGATTATTTTTTGGTTAAACCAAAATTAATATGAGTTTTAGTTTGAATAATCTATTCTTCTAGAATACTTATGGAATACTTATTCAACATAATTTGTTGAATTAAGAAACAGTTGCTAAAAGACAAAGTTTCTTTTCTTAGAGCAAAAGAACCAATCCACTTCAAAAATACTAGTACCCCAGACAAGTATGACTGAACAGGCTAGACAAATTCCATGCTCAACATAAAAAGCTTAACAAGAAATTATTTTAGTGACCAAACTTACTGGGTTTATGAGATACAAAGGTATGTAAAATAAAACATTGCATTGGAAGGCAATGTGCCAAATTCTATCCAATCGTAACACCTTCTATAAACCAATCAGCTCATTTAGCCAGAACTTATCCCTCTGTTTTATTACACTTTTTAACATTTATTTTTCTTCTATTTCAAGGTGAGGTGGGGTTTATAGACAGAAAACTTTTCTAAAGTTCTTCCATCTACCAAATGAAAATGAGGGGAAAAAAAGATGCCACGGGAAACTTGAATGAGCTCATGTGGCAGAAGCAAGTTTCACCGGGAGTCCCCAAATGCATGCAGTAATTCTTGCTTGTAGCCAC